AGTTTTAGTTTGAGACAAGTTCCTTAAAATAGTCTTTTAATTCCATTTAGTACATATGGTTTTCAATATTTTTTCTTATTTTCTTTCATTGGTGGGTTGCAAGTTAAGAGAACATAGCTTTAGGATGGTGATGTTGGTAGCTGATTTAAGTATTCTGCCCCACCTGTGGTTGAGTTCCTCTGATACCAACAGGAAGAAACTGAATTTGATGCCTGTTATGATGGGGAAGAGATTTTCCTTCTAATACACCATCCAGTGGTAGACAGAGAACTGAAATTCGTCATCTTTACAGAGTGATCATTTTCAAATAATCCTTTCTATAGAAAGACTTTTAGAATAATTTTTATTAGAGATGAAGATACACTTAGGGAACCTGAGGGCGTAAAACACCAAAAGCTTGTTACAGAGTAGAAGAGGAAGCATGCTAAAGTATTTAAAAAGCACAAAAGGAACTCATGAAAGTTAATCAACTATGAAAAATATATGGGTAATGTCCCCATGTGCAGTTGTCCAAAAAAAGGTAATAAGAATGAAGATTCGCCAAATAAGCTCTATACATTGGTTACCTATATACCTGTCACCACTTTCAAAAATTTACAGGAGGAAACTCTCCTCCCAATCATGAAATAAAGTCCTTGATCTGATTGGGCCAATGTAGGTCACATGTCCATCTGTGGAACACAATAAGTCACCAGAGAAATGCCATGTACTGGTTGGCTGAGTGTCCTTCCTGAGTCCCCTGGCTGTATATGTGGGGAGTGAATGTCTGAACAAAATCAGGGCTCTTTTGGCAAAGAAGCTGGGAGGGGTGGATGCTGAGCAGACAGCTAGTGGTATTCACTATATTCACTTTCCTGATTTTCTTCTTGGCTGTTATTCTCAGTCTCCTTTGTGCATTTTTCTTTCTTGGACCACCACTTAAATATTGTTCATCATTTCAGATAATTCTATTTTCAGTCCTCTTCTATCCAGACTACACTTTCTCTGTGGGCCACCACTGCCATATCTTAGATTACCATCTCTAAACAAAGAGATATCTGTTATGTGTTGAGTCTAAAACTGATGACTCCTAATTATGGTATCTATCTCTAGCCAAAGGGTCTCTTCTAAGCTCCATTCTATGAATTCCAAAAAAACTAACATCTAATACTTCCTGTGGTAGGTAGAATAATACTCCCTCCCCCAAAGATGTCTATGTCTTAACCCCCAGATGCCATAAATATGTTAGGTTACATAGCAAAGGGCAATTAAGGTTACAGATAGAATTAAAGTTGCTAATCAGCAGACTTTAAGGTAGGGAAGATTATCCTAGATTATCCAGATGGGCCCAAAGTGATTACAAATGTCTTCAAAAGTGGAAGAGGGAGTAAGTTTCTGATATGACTTGACAATGTCCTTGGTGATAAACAGTCTCTCGTGTTTCCCAACTATTTCCCTTGTGTACTTCCTCTTAGAAAAGACCCTCATGGGGCTTACCAAAACTCTGATCTTTTGTATTTGAGTTGACCTATCTGGCCCTAGCCTGGGAATTCCAAAAGTTCTACTTGCGGACCTAATCAAGACATGTACTTCAGGTCCTGCCACTCACTCTCTGCCTGCACCTGACCTCCCCAGGCATAAGGTATACCTCCTCCAGGACTTATGAGTAATAAACTTCTCCATTCACTTTTATTTGGGGTCTCTGTTGAACCATGGCTCACCATCCAACACCCCACGGTTCTACTTAACAAATGTTAATTTAACAAAAATCAGGACACAGGGGAGAGAGAACGAGAGAGACTGCAATGTGAGAAAGTCTCAGACATTGCTGGTTTTGAAGATGGAGGAATAGGGCAGGCATGCAGGCAGGAATTTTTTTCTCTGTAAGTTGAAAAAGACAAGGAAACAGATTCCCCTAGAACCCTCAGAAAGAATGCAGTCTTGTTGACGCCTTGATTTTGGCTGAGTGAGACCTATTTTGGATTTCTGACCTCCAGAACTGTAAGATAATAAATTCGTGTTGTTTTAAGCCACTAAATTTGTTGCAATTTGTTACAGCAGTCATAGAAAACTAATACACTTCCCGTACTTGTGTAAGTTAACCGCCCACATCTCCAACAAATCTTCATGTTCCTGTTCTTAGCAGATGGTACCACCATATACCCAGTTATCCAACTGGGAGTTATCCTTGACCTCTACCTCTTCCCCACATTTAATTCATCACCAATTCCTGTCAGTTCTTTTTACTTCAAAAATAACACCTCCATTTCATTGCATCCCTCTGCTACTGCCTTTTTCTAGGCTATAATTTTGAACTGCTAGAATTATGTAATAGTGGAGTTCTATATTTTACTCTGTTCTCTACATTTTCAGATATGTGTGTGTGTGTGTGTGTGTGTGTGTATAGATAGATAGATAGATAGATATAAATTTTTTAAAATTGAGATCCATAGGCAGAAATACATCTCACGTTATGATCTAGGACACATACACACACTCTCTCTCTCTCTCACACACACACACACATACACAAACCAAATGTTTCACAAAACCATAAATCCCGTACTCTTTTGCAATGTGTGCTATTTTCTATTCCATGTAATTTAATTTTAAAACCCCACAAATTTGTGACTTACTATAATGATTTCATTACGGACCAGTGGATCATGACCTGTAGTTGGCGAAAACATTTTTCTACCTGGCTACTAGAATTCTATTTATAAAATACAGTCATTATTTTCCTTAAAATCCTTCAGTGGCCTCCTACTACTCTAAGGATAAAGTTCAAACTTTAACGTGGCTTATATGATCCTTCATTATCCAGCCCTTTTATGACTGTAGCTTCATCTGTTTCTAACTGGTTCATTTTCATTTTGCAACCTAACCTTACTTACTTTCTGGACTCAGGATGTAGCTACTGATAGAACACTCTTCCCCACATCCTCTTCTTGTAGCTAATTTCCACTCATTCTACCTTCTCAGATTAGACTTCACTTCCTTCTGAATGCTTTCCCTGGATGCCTGGCCTGGGTTAGGTGTCCCTCTGTGTGCTCCCTTAGCACCCTGGACTTCCTCTATGGCAGTGTTTATCACCCTGTATTTCAACTACAACAGGGCTATTTAAGAGCAGGAACTGGGTTTTGTAGACCTAGTAGGCCTTCAGTAAACATTTAGTCAATAAATAGATGGAACTATTTCAATGGGTTCTCATCTTAAGTCCATTAAGTGGAATTCTCACACATTCCCATGTTGGTTCTTTCACACTACTGTAACATGTTATTGAGTTTCAAAGAAGGCAAAGGTCTGAAACTCAACTGACTACATAGATACAACTTGTTTGCTGAGTCATTAAACAGTTTCTAGAGTTTAGCTCTGTGTGAAGCAGCCTGCAAAGCTGTGTTCAAGATTCACGAGATCTCTCATGCTGGGACATAAACTAGCATCTCTAATTCTTAATTTCTTTATCTGAATTCCAGTACCTCAGTTAATTTATTCTTGGATATCCCCAAGCATCCCAAATTCAATTTGTGTAACTTACAAGTATAGTAATAGCATGCTCTTAGAACTATTGTGAGAAGCCAGTGAGTTAAATAAAATAATATTTTGAAGATTATTTTTTAGCTATTATTACTACATACAGACACACATGACTATGTCAGGTTATGCCAACACCCTGTTACACTGATTAAGGACAGCAAGTAGGATGAAGCCTAGGAAGAGAGGGGTACCTGCATGAGCAAAGCTCAAAAATTCTTAGGGTTAGCTATAGCATGGCCTATGATATCATGGCTTTTTATTAAAAGAGTTTCTTCCTTAGAACTTTCTTGTTCCTTTAAAAGAAAACTAAGATCTCATTGGTGTAACTAATTTGGTCTGTGATATCAGTTTAGGCTATTTTATGAACTTCTTGATTGGAGGAAACTCCATACTCAGGTAAGCTTCATCAGATTGCGGCATGGTGGTTTTCCTGCGGTGGGAGGAATAACGAATTCCCCACAGATGAAAAGAACAAGCCTCTCGTGAGGTCTGTGTCAGCCAGCTATCTGACTACTTCCTCCACTGCTATCTGACTATTTATGTACCTAGAAGATTACACATACCCATTTTCATTTCTTTTAGCCACTCCTATGCAATGGTGCAGAATTTCTTCCTCTGAATGTTAACAAGCTACAAAATACCCAAATAATAAATTTTGCTGCAAACATTTTGGATATATAATGTGATACTGTGCTGATATAAGAATAAAAATTCAAAATGGCTACCCCAAAATCAGATCGGCACATTCAAAAACAAATTACTTAGAAATACTTTCCTCATTTTTACCTCAGTTACCTTACAACCTAATTTGAAGGTGGCAGAAGTTCATCAAGGAATACAGAATCAGCAAAATAATGTAGATTGATATATCAAAAGCATAATAAAGTTGGGTAAATATTTCATAAAAGAATGTAAACATTTTCATTAATTTTCACTTCATTTGTTCAGTTTATATATCCCATTATTTGCCAGATACTTGTCCAGTTCCTTGGGATATAATGGTGAAAAAGACAAAGTCCTGCTTCATGAAGGTTACATTTTCTGACGAGAAGGGAGAAGATAAAAAAGAGCAAGTAATTAAATAAGAATTTCAGGTACTGATATATGCTATAAAAAACATAAATGATATAAAAGTACCTAAAGAGGTGGTCATGGGAGGGGCTAAAAGTACATATTCTGGAGCCATAACATCCATGTACAAATCCAGGCTCTATCAATCAACAGGTATATGAAGTTGGGCAAATTATCCACACTCTCTCTCAGTTTTCTCATCTGTCTAATGGGGACAACAATAGTACGTACCTCATGGGTTTGTTGGATTAAATTAATGACTGTGTAGAACAATACCTGACACATAGTTAGTGCTATGTGAGTGTCTTCAATTACTATTTTCCTCTCTGAGTAACTCACATTAAGCTAAGACTTAAATATTAAGGAGTTTAAACTAATATGCATAAATTAAAGAACTCTACCAAATAAAGAAGTAGACTAAAATGCAGCTCTTTTCTTTATATTTCAATGGTTTACAGTAATAAAGTTACATGAAGACAAAACCCTAGTAGCACCTTTCATCACTCGTCTTCACATTCATCCGAGCTTTCTTCACTCAGCTCCTCGCTTTCTCCTTCACTCTCACCGCTACTCTCTTCTTCACTATCTTGATCATCTTCCTCAAGATTTTGAGCTTTCTCTGCCATAGAAAGGAAGAGAATTGCTTAAAATGTTTCGTAACATTTCTACTCTATTAAAAATCATAATTCTCCTTGCTTCTGCCTCTACAAAGAAATGCATATTTTTGGAACATGAGAACTGAGCCGAACTGAACTTTGCTAACTGTATATGAAGTTAAAGTAGTAATGTGAAGAAGAATATATTCTTACTGGCATAAAGATATTTGTGGATTTAAAGTAAATCTAAAACTAGGTCGATAAAATGTTTACTATTGTCAACATAATTCTTACTTAAATAGAATAAGAGTAAGTGAGATTTAGGGTAATTTAGAGGGTGCTGGCTTTCCTTGGAATTGTGGGGTAGTCCCTTTAATACATGAGGCAATTAACATATTCTATTCTCTCTGAAGACCTTGTCAGTGTGTGATGCCTGTGCCCAGGAAACCTGCTTTATTTGGGCAGTTCCACCCCACAGAGAAAGGAGTCCTCGTGACCATCCACGGAGGACAAGCTGGTTTTATCAAACCATCCAAGACAACCATTTAGCCCCTTTTTAACTGCTTCCTTAAGATGTACTTTACCAATCTCCTGGGATAATGGGATTTTAAATAGTGACAGCTCATAGTTCTATGAGAAAGAAGGAATTTAAAATTTTAAATTTACCCATCAGCAACATTTCTTCAATAAGTGAGAAAAACTCCTTGGCCTCAGGATTTTCTGGTTCATAGATTAGGACTGAAAATGAACAACAGAACATATGTTATTAATGTTCAAACTGTTTCAGCAAACAGGCTCCTCAGAATGAGATTGAAACTGTCAGTCAGAGTAAGTGCAAAAGCACAAAGCGATAAACACCAACAATTATACCATCGGTATATTAACTGCAAATAGAGAGAATTCTCTACTTATACTAGGTGCTTTGTGAGACAAATAATCCTCATTTTATTGTCTACGTCCTGTCCAAAGAATGCAATGTCTATTACTATGAGGCATCCCTCATAATCCTGAAACCAAGGTATTTTTGACTATAATCATTCTGCAAATAAGGTCCAAATCCTGCAAAAAAGACTCTGCTAAAAAGAATGTGTGCCTAGAGGTCTGTTAATCCCTCACTTCATCTCACTGCCTCTCTTCCCATGTCTACATGACATCCTTTACTAAAGACCTCATCTGAACAGAAGGAACAGAGTTTCCGCCCTTCCTTATTTTTCTTTAGTGCAAACTCTTCCACGGTAGAGATGCTAGTTTTAAAAACTCATCTTTCAAATAGGGAAATTGATACTTCTTATTGTTCTTCATCCTTAAAACTTTTACCCTAGTTTACAACCCAGTCAGCATCTACCTAACAGTGTTCTCCCTCTTCATCAGACACATTGTTTTTAGCACTATTTACTCCTTTTTGTTAATCCTTTATATGAATGTGTCATCTTTCCTTTGAACCATACCAATAGAATATTTTTTAGGTTTATTGGTATGGTACCAAAGTCCTAGAGGCCAGAAAAATTTACACCTTTTGTTCTAGAGTTTTCTAGACTATTTATTTTTTCAGATCTTGCTCTACAGACCTCTCTCTACCTTCTTCCTACCAGCCTTGAGGAGTATTCATAATTTGGCATTGTCCATTTAATGTTGTGACACTCGTGTGATATCTTGATGGCCCCCAGAGGGCACTGAAACATCAAGTGTGCTATTGGCCTGGCTAAGATATGAGTGAACTGCATGCAGATGGTTCAACTAGGCCCCATTGGCTCATAGGACCTCACCCCATATGGCTTTCATCCCAACACATCAAACCGGTGTCTTCATTTCCTAATCCACTAACATAACAATCTACCATCAATCTGGTTTAGCATGACTGTATACTCACTCAGAAGCTGCTTTTAAGGATCCTATAGGTATTTAAATATCTTTTACGGTTTCTAATAAAAGTAATTTTTTATACATTTTTAACTTGGACCAAAATACACTTATCATTAGCAGTCTAAATCTTTCTCTGAGGCTAAGCCTCTTTCTGGAGCAGGGTTTCTCCAACTTGCTTCCTGAGATATGAGTTTAAGATTTTAATATGTATTTGGGAAACTAGGTTAAATGAAGTAGCTCAGGTAAAGCTTACACTAAGAAGCAACTGTAAGATTTTACAGAGCCATTAATATTCTCATACTATTATAAATCTTATAAGGAAAACATGGTTTCCCCAAATAATTATTTCCATGGAATCTTTTTGGTAGAACATTTATTAAGAAATCTTGAATATTCCTTAGAATACAGTTTAGAGAATTCCACATTGGAATTAGGGCTATTCCATGGGACTGGAGGATGACATCAGCTGCTCTCGTGGTTTAACAAAACCTACTGGCAATTGTCAATTTTCAGAGTGAGAGTAAGATATCCACTTTGAAACTTAGCCTAGCAGTATCCATTCTACATGATGAATCAAAAATTCTTCTTACTCTCTGGCAGGCTAGTAGGGTTTGTAAATAAGTAAGAGAAGCCTGTAGCACGTGCAGTAGGTGTCCTGGGGGTTATTTCCCAACCTGGGCCCATAAGCAGAATCCAGCCTTGAAGACTGTCAAATGAGAATCCTGGTTCCGCCACTGTCTAGCTGGGTTACCTTGGGGAGAGTATTTACTATTTCTGTACTTCAGTTCCTTTATCAGCAATAATGCTATCAACCATATTGGGCTATTTTAATAAATCGATGAGATAATAAAAGTAAAGTACTTAGTTCAGTCCTCGGTGCACGTTAAGTTCTGAATAAACATTGATTGTTATTCGTTTTCCCAGAATGGTTCTGGGCCTAGAGAAAGGGTTAGTTCCTTCTTAGGCATTCAGTGGATGCTTTCTTCTGTTCTTCTGGCTTAAAGGCTGGGGCAGGGAGCCCGGGGTGGGGAGTGGGGTGGGGGGGTCATTCTTCTGCTTATGGGGCTCTGAGTCCTTCAGATTGAAGTCTATTCTATGGTAGACTGAACGTTATTCTTGTTCACTGTTTACATCCCTAGTGTGCCTGGTACAGCTGGAGTCCTCAAAACATTAAAAAATAGAATAAATGATCATAAACAACTGAGTAGGAAGCAGTCCTTTTTTTGCCTAGATAAAATTAATTACTCTAGGCTAATACGAAAGGGTGATTATTTTACTCAAAAAGAAATAAACATTACAGGAACTATGTTTTCTCAAGATACATCTGAATTTGTGTTAGACTTATAATGATAAGAACCATTTTGGTTTTTAAACCATTATTCTTATGGTTTTAAACCATTAATCTTATGGTTATTTTATCAATTATTATAATTGATAAAATAGGTCTTCCAGGCCTAAATGTTTTTTGGTGTTGGACCTAGGGCTGCCTGTGAAGAGTGGTGCCTTAAGAAGACTAAGCTGCAAGTTCCCTTCTTACAGGTGAAGAGACCAAGAAATAAGAAGATTGATTGGCACAAAATCTCACAGTCATTCATGAGATGAATTAAGATAAGTAACTGGGACTCTTAACTTTCAGTCTCACTTAAAAATCACTTTTCTAGGCTGCCTCCAATGCCTGGCAGGAAATGGCACGGAGCAGAGATATCAGTTCTGCATGAGACAGCAGAAAAATGGCTGAGGAAATATTAGGACCATATAAAAACAGAGTGTGGAAGAAAGATAAAATTTAAGTCTTCACCAACAGAGAAAATATCTTGGGGGAACCTAATACAAATTTTTAAAAGGTGGGACAAAGAGAAAGGAACCCATGAGTACCTGGGACACCAGGTTGGCAGCCCTGCAGCTAAACAAAGATATAAATAATTATACTGTGATTGGACAGCAAGAAAACAAAACAGGAACCTAAAGCCTGTTAACGAAAATGAATCTGTAAAACATTTCTGAGGGACAAAGATGGATTATTTAATAGAAATAGAAGCCATTTCAAATCTGATTAATCCATAAAGTATATCTTTTCCAAGTCTCTGCCTGCTTGACCAGAAGTGTATGCTTATTAATCAAACGACGAAACAGAAATAGAAAATTAGTAGACAATCTTAGGCTTTCAAGCCAGACCTGGGATCTAATCCTAACTTTACCAATTAGTAGCTCTGTGACTTTGTGTGAACTAGTTCTCTTTGCTTCTAGCCTCAATTTCCTCATCTAGAAAGTGTGGTTAATAATATCAGCCTCACGGAATTATTTTAAGCATTCAGTGTAATACGAATGCTCCCCTAGTAAGTGCTAAATACATACATATACAAATATGCAAATGTATAACCTATGTTCACATATATAATTTATAAAGATATAAATACATACAGAGAGAAAAGAAGAGTCTGTAGAAGAGCTAGAAGACGAGAAAAACAGACAAAGGAATATCTATACTGTAAGAATTTACATATAATATTTTGGGGTCCTTGCTAGATGAAAAAAATTTATTTTGTTTGTTGCTCTAAATACAGAGAGGAACTTGCAGCAGCATCAACCATCTCTGGGCCTCTTCTTCCATGATTCTTATCAGCCTCTTCTTCCTCTGCAGAGCAGTGCTCTTTCCCAAATGGCTCCCTGGATCATGGTGCCTGTATTAGGGCCCTCCATAGCTCCTTTTCCAATAGTCTAGTCCTTAGTTTTAGAGGCACCACTATTTCACACAGACAGAAAAGAGTGAACAGTGTTACTGGATGAGCCAATAGGGATGAAAACCAAACCAAACCATGACTATGTCAACCTCAAAAGGGTTTAGAGCATGTGTGCCCTGATTTCTGCTTTCTCTCCAGCTCCCAGCATAATATCTGGTACAGATACGATGCTCAATATATATTTGTTGGAAGGAGTGAAGGATGGGAGTGAGTTTTTAAAGGGATATAACCCAATTAAGAGAGATCAATTTGGATTTTTTTCTGTCTATACCGACCTGGCACTTAATGTGTGTGCACTGGTTTGAGTCAGGTCAATAAACATTTTATTGAGCACCTGCTGTTTATGCGGCATACTACAGGGCTAACAGCCAAAACTGACTGACAGATGTGGTGATTATCAGTGCATATATTTTATAAACTTCAGCCAGAGGCTTTCTAAAAATGATTAATAAATACAGAAATATGACATATAAATTTTCCCACAATTAGGCTTCACCAGAAACTCAGAGAATTGGGCACTAGAGATACAGAGTCACTCACTTCTACACTAGCTCCACAGAGGAGAAAGGTATTGTGGGAGAAGGAGGCTTGGGTCCCAGTTCTGCCTATGTCACTAGCTCTCTGAGTGGGGCTGAGCAAGCTGCTTAACCTCCCTCTGCTTCAGTTTCATTATTTGTAAAAATAAAAGATTGGGCATGATTCCCTCTAAGGATTCCTTCTGAATGGAAATTCTATGTGGGCTACCAAAAATAGTTTTGATCAAATATTTAAAGGTCAAAAGTGCAAAACAAGGCAAATTATTTTGGATATAAAAGAGGTAATGTTAAAGTATTCAAAAATTAAAAATTAAGTAAAAAATTAGCCAATGATTTAAGAAATATTGTATCCATAGTGAGGACTCTGTGTAAGGCAAGTGAGAGTAGACCCTCACGATCCCTATACTATATATTCACTTCAAGGACTTTTACTACGAGACTTAAGTCTGACACTAGTTAATATTTTGAGACTTATTATTAATAAAGTTTAATTACAGAGTTGCCATTTCACTTTAAAAATAACTATGACAAATATATTCGAGAAAAATGGGCAAAATAGTTTGAAAACAATTTGGATTTCAACAGAGATTTGGACTCTTTTAAAATCATTAAATGAATGTTTTAAGATTTAGAAACTACGATCTTCAAAATTAAGAATTCACTGGATAATAATGGAGTCAAGCAATCTAACAGATGCAGAATTCAAAACACTGGTTATAAGGATGCTCAATGAATTTAGGGGAAGTGCAGATGAATTCAGTGAGAACTTAAAGAGATAAAAAACATAAAAATAGAAATGGAAATTATAAAAGGACACCAGTCAGAAATGAAGAACACATTATCTGAGATGACAAATATGTTAGATGGAATAAACAGAGTGGATAAAGAAGAAGATCAAACCACCAATATAGAGGATGGGGAAGCCAAGGGCACCCAATCAGATGGCAAGAAAAAAGAAGCCAAGAATACAATAATAATTTAAGGAGCCTATGGGACACAATTAAATGTAAAAATGTCCATGTCATGGGGGTACCTCAAGAAAAACAAGATGTTGAAAAGCTATTTGAAGAAATAATGATGGAAAACTTCCCTCGCCTGGTGAAAGAAATAGACATACAACCCAATGAAGCTCAGAGAGTCCCAAGAAAGAGGAATCCAAAGAGGCTCCCACCAAGACACATCATAATTAAAATGCCAATGGTTAAATACAAAGAGAGAATCTTAAAAGCAGCAAGATAAAAGCAGTTAGTTACAAGGGAGCACCTGAGACTGGCAGCTGATTTCTCAAAAGAAATTATGCAGGACAGAAGGGCTGGGCACGAAATATTCAATGCGATGAAAATCCAGGATTTACAACCAAGGATACTTTATCCAGCAAACCTATCATATCATTTAGAATCGAAAGACAGATAAAAAGCTTCCCGGACAAAAATAAGCTAAAGGAATTAATCAACGCCAAGCCAATATTACAGGAAATGTTGGAGGGGCTTCTTTAAGAAAAAAAAATGTATCAAAAACATGAATAAAGAATGGTAATAACTACATTCCTATCAACAATTACCTCAAATGGAAAAGAATTAAGTGCTTCAACCAAATGATAGAGTGGCTGAATGGATAAAAAAACAAAACCCCTACATATGCTGCCTACAAGAGACTCACTTCAGATTAAAAGACACACACAGACTAAAAGGAGGGGGATGGAAAAAGATATTGCCTTGATGGACCTAGAGGGTATTGTGCTGAATGCAATAGGTCAGATAGAGAAAGACAAATATCACATGATTTCACATACATGTGGAATCTAAAGAACAAAATGAACAACAACAGCAACACAAGCACATGTGGAATCAAAGAACAAAATAAACAACAACAAAAGCAGAAATAAAGTCATGGATACAGAGAATATTTTGAGGGTTCCTAGATAGGAGGGGGTTAGGGGAATGGAGAAAAAAGGCAAACGGATTAAGAAGTACAAGTGGATAGTTGCAGAATAGACATGGAGATATAGAGAGTGTAGCATGGGGAAGATGGTTAATAATGTATTAAATATGTAAGTGGAGAGCGGATACTAGAGTGGGGTGATCTCTTTGTGAGTTATGTGGATCTCTGATCACTATACTGTACAACTGAAACTAGTATGTTATTGTATGCCAACTATAATTGAAAAAAACTCATTGAAATGCACAATGTAAATACAAGCAACTAACTGTCTATTGTATTTCAATAAAGCCAGAAAAAAAAAAAGGCTACAACAAAAAATAATGAAAACACCAAAGAAAAAAAAGAACTTACTGGATAGTTTTAACAGCAGAAGATAGGATAAGTTAACTTAAAAGTGGGTCGATAGAAAATATACATGAGAAGAAAAAAAAATGAAAAAAACAGAGCTAAGTGTAAGATACATGTGGAAAACCATGAAAAAAAAAGTCTAATTTATGTATAATTGAAGACCCAGAAAGAGAAAAGAGAGAATAGGGCAGAAGTGATATTTGAAAAGGCAATAGCCAAGAAATTTTCAAAGTTGATGAAATCATCAACTGACAGATTTAAGAAACAGCAAACCTCCCAAACCTCTCTTTGTATAACAAAGACAAAAAAAAACCACAACTATTTTGAACATCAAGTCAAATCATTAAAAACCAGACAGAAAGAAAACTAAGGTAGATTATATTATTCTTCTACTCAGAAGTGTCTAATGGTTTCCCACCTCACTCAGAGAAAAAATGAAGGCCCTTAAATTGTGAAAAGGTTCTATGCAATCTACACGACCCCTAACCTGTAACCTCTGTGACCTCATCTACTATCACACTTCTCCTTGCTTATTCTGCTCCATTTATACTGTCTTCCTAGCTATCCAATAGGCACACTCAGTACTTCAGCATCTCAGTACTTCTGCTATTAATCCTGTCCTGCCTGGAACTTGCTTCTTCCAGACTAGTTTCCTCAACTTCTTCAAGTCTTTGCTCAAGTCTTTCCATGAGACCTCCCAGGACCATCCTATTTAAAACTGCTTTGCCTCCTCCTAGTAATTTCCAGTCCTTCTTCCCTACTTTGTTTCTCTCCATAGTACCTATCATTTATTACACATTCTTTATGTATCAGTTTATTATCTGCCTGACACTAGATATAAATGTGGGATTGTTATCTCTCTTGTTGACTGCTGTATTTTCAGTGCCTGACACATGTAGGCACTCAAATATTTGTAGAACAATTGCATATTAAGTAAGGTTTGCTGCAGTACCTGACACTTCTTTGAAACTAAAGGCATAAAGGTACTTACCATTGTCATAAAGGTAAGGATTTTGACTTATTTTCCAGTGGTGGTAATTAGTCTCTGTTAGTTGATCCCACTCAAAATTAGCCAGAAGTCTAAATTAGTCCTTATACCAATCAACCTAATTTACTATCAAGGAATCACTGAGACATTATCAGGGAAATTCACTAGACTTATAATAATCAAACCATTTTACATATTATGGAATGTTTTTAGAAACAAAGAGAAGATTGAAAAATGGGAAAGTACTTTGTACTTACTCATCTGACATAATTTTTTTGCCAAATGGTAGTCTTGGCTCATTTCTGCTCTCAGGAACTGGAACACATTAAGAATTTTTCAGATAAGTAGTTTTGGAGAAAATTTAAATGTCAATTATAAACTCTCTAGAAAATATTCCATTAATGATTAACTATTTTGCTTTTAACATTTACATTATTTTTCCAGAAGTGAGTCTGTAATCAATCAATTAATTAAGAGTATTTAAGGACTTCTCATGGCAAGGCAATATAGAATAAGTATGATACCTCTACTTTCCTACGACCATACTATATATGTACTACTGAATAATTTGAGAATATGCAGATTGACTCAACTGGCAGAGACAGTGAAGACATTAATCATTTTAAAATTCCTTTGGTTCAGATACAGCTTTTATTTGTGAATTTAGTCCATAATTACATGACAACACTTAGTAAAAAAATATAGAATTACAATTATGTATATGCTTTCTTCTAGGAAGAAAATATAGTAAATATGTCTGTTTTCCTTATATGATTCTATGGCTAGCATTTGGGTTAAATTATCTAAGAAGGCAAGCATATTAGCATTTTCTTTGTGCTAAAAAAATAATTGAGACTTCTAGCCATGATGGAGTTAACAGAGACCAGATTTACTCTCCCTCCTTAAACAACCAGAAAATTGGACAAAATATATGAAACGACAGTTTCAAATGCTGAACAACAGACATCACAGGACGGTGATTCATCTCCAAAAGAAGAGAAACAAGATGCGACCTATATTGCCTCAGTTTACTGCTTTTAGGCTGTTTCCAGGCACCAGCATTGGCAGGGAGAATCCAAACAGAAACGAGTAATCTAGCTGAGCTGAAATAACTGTACAGAGTTCAGAGAGGCCAATGCGGCCATAATTTTCAAGGGAGGAATGAACTTCACAGGCAGAGAGAGCTCCAGCAACCTGCAGAGGTGTTTCTTAGAGTCTTTGGCTGGTACCAATCTGCATATGAGCATGAAGAAACTGAGGCTGAAGAAAGAATCACTGGAATGAGCAAGTGGAGCAATCACTGGACCTCTCACAGGGCTAAAAGCTCATGTTCTCTCTAGCCAGAGTGGAAGGTCCTTCGAAAACACAGAGCATTAGGAAGAGTCCTCATAAGGTTACTGCCTTGGCAGTGTCCCCACACTATAAAGGCTGCTCTGGACCCTCCCAACAAAGCTTAAAAGCAAGACTCAAAAAGTGATACCTGCTTCCAAGTAACTCAACTGTGTCCAGATCAAAGTTCTACAATATTCAAAGAAAAACAACAAAAGTTTGTAACCAAGAACATGAAATTTATGATGTCTAGGATTCAGTAACAAATTACCAGGCATGCAAAGGTTCAGGAAAATATCTTAAGCAGGACAAAACTTAATCAGTAGAAATTAACCTAGAATTGAAAAAGATGATAGCATAGTACATAAGCATATATGCCATATGCTTATGGCATATATGCTCAAAAGTAGAGGAAAATATGAATATAATGAGAGAAATGATAGATAATATGTGTTTATATTCATTTTACAGATTCTATGTTGGAAGGTGTTGGCAGCTAGTAAAGCCCAGGGATGCTGATAAAAATTCTACAAAGACACTCAGAAGCACCAAAGGATTACCCAATCCCAAATGTCAGCAGTGCCAAGGTTGAGAAACTCTGCAATAGGTTGAAGAAGAAATAGAAAATCCGAGGTATCCAACTGAGATTCTATAAATTGAACCTATAACTAGCCCACCTACCCCGCCTCTCTCGCTTCCCAGATAAAAGATGGCAAGGTGTTACAGATAAATCTCATCAGAAGTCCCTAACTCATTTTGTTGGGCGAGTGTAATTTTAATCTCTAAATCACACAGACATTTCCAATAGGAAAATTATAAACTGGTCTACCTAATAAATTATGATATGAAAACCTTTTACACATCAAATCCAGCAAGATACAGATGAATATAATGTGATCAAGTTGAATTTATCTCAGAAATTCAAGGATGGTTCAATATCAGAAAATCAGTTGTTAATGCACACCAATAGATTATAAGAGAAAAGCTATAATCTAAATATATGCGAAGAAATATTTTTTAAAACTTTAATCTTCATTTTTGAAACAAAATTTTTTAAATGTTAAGAAAATAAGGCGATTCTTTAAACTGGCATCTATTAAAAATTTTTATCAAACATTGTACATATGATACTATTTAGAAGCATTTAAATTGATGGAACAAGAATTTTGGAAAGTATCATTTATGTTTAGAAGCAGACCTCTTACCTAAAGAAGAAAAAGGGAAAGGTAATATGAATAATAAAAATCAGATGTGACAGGATTGTAAACAAAGAAAATGCAGGCCAAGCTATAAACCATTAAAGCTAGTATAAAGTTAGTATATCTAGGTTGCTGTAAACAAGATTAGCATATGAAAATCAACGGTGTTTCTACACCTCGTAATAATTAGAGACTAATGAAACGAACCCATTCACTATAATGACAAATTACAAGATCCTCAATAACAAATGTCTCCCAAAATGTGCAATTCCTTTATAAAGAAAATTGTAACACATTATTGAGTGACATTAAAGAATGCATTACTATTTATAAAATATATGGGGTGAGGTAGGGAGAAAGGATGGGAGGATGGGATTATAACTGCAAAAAATAGATAGTGAACTTAAAAGAGATAGCGATAGAAATTTAAAATTAAATATACGGAGAAAAAGACAGAAAAAAAAAGCAACATCAATGGCCTTTGGAACAATATTGGATGGTTTAACATATATATGTGTAATTGTAGCCTTTACCAGAATACTGTAAGTCACTTCCAGAATCTTCTCTCACCTTAAATCTGGTGAAAGTAGTAAGAGAGATGAGTAGCCAGGTAAGCGTCTGTATGTGGGCAAGTATCTTTTTACTATTGTTTTAATCATCAAGGCTATATATACCCAACAAAGCTTAAAAGCAAGACTCATTTAGTTATTTTAATAGTTTTTTAAGTTTCTTAAATTATAATGTACAAGTAAAACTTACTTCTGCCATTAACTCTAATGGGGCATGAGTATTTTTATTCGGGTTACTGTCTTCATCGTCTTCATCATTGGTGTCATCTTCACCATCATCATCTGTTGATTTGGACAATTTATCATCGATATCCTGAAGGCAATATTCATTATTTTTCTCCTGCTTTGCAATGACTGTATCTTTGCCCATTTCACCTAAAACAGAATATACATAATTTAATGAATATTGAAAAGTTCAAAAATTAAAAATGGTTACTCCTAAATTATAATATTAATTATATTATAAGCATGGCTTCCTGTTCTGGACTGTATTTTTTTTTTTCATGACTAAATAGCACTGCAATAACTTATTTGATTTCCAATTTCAAAAAGGTAATAAAACTGTCAAGTGAAAGGAAAAAGTCCAAATCAATAACATTGAGCTGATGTTAATTGTTTGAATTGTTTGGTGCTTAAAATTTTAATAAATGAAAAAGTTTTGTTTATAAAGAATATAATAATTTTAAGAAAAAAGAAATTAATGCTATTCTAGCTCTAGAAATAGATGTCCTAAGTTGTTCTCATAGGAGGTAAATACTAAATAAAAAACTTGAAGAGTAAAAGTAAGACTGGAGAGGCTGAGATGCAAATAATTCTTAGGTCATGTCACTCCTTGGATACTTGAGAATAACGTTTCTTCTCTGTCTCTCTCTCAAAACACGCACACACACACAGAAGAAATACATGTGGAGTAGGCTACATATAACCAAAGATTACACAACATTATTAATGATTTTTCTTAATGTCAAGTCACAGTACCTATGACCAAACATAGGTGACTGAAAAATAAAAAAATAAGTTCTACTGACTACTCATTCAGTGGCTGGCACTATGCTGAGTTCCAGGCACACAAAATAAATGGTCATTGACCTCAGGGTACTTGCTAACACTTTAACGAGAGAGTCAGAAACATAATGGATAATTACAAAACCATAGGGAAGTACACTGATAATGATGTATACTGGGTAAATGGAAGAAGAAAGGAGGGCCTCACAGGAGTCTGGGGAGTGATCAGGAATTGTCCAGTCTGAGTGGGTATTTTTCCAGGGGGAGGAAACAGCATGATCCAATGCAGAAGCAAGAATGTGTGTGGAGTTACAAACACTTTGATGCTGCTTAAGGCTCAAGATTGAGGCTGAAATGGTGACAGATGTGGTAGGGAATAGCTGGAAAATAAAAAGTCTTGTGGGCCAGAAGCCTTGAGATTTATCCTAAGAATGACAGAACTACTAAGGAAATATTTTATGTAGGTAAACAAGTATGATCAATTCTGCATCTCTGAGGCAAAACTTGGATAGCAGAGTGGAAAGTGTTTTTGAGGGGAGATCCCCTGCAGGAAAAGCAAGGGGAGAGATTAAAAGTCTCTTTAAAAAGTCCATTTGAGAGAGATGGTTAATGAATGATAGGGCACAGGTATAATAGGGATGGAGAGGAGGTGATAGATTAGAGAAATATTTAAGATGTAAAATGTATGGCACAATCTATTGGGACATTTTCCGAACGTAATTCTTATACTATCTTGGTCCATTTTGCCATATATGTGTATCACCTATACTATTTACTTAATATTTTTCTTTGAATCTACTTTAACTTATAAATTTTGCCAGATTATAAATATCATCATCCATGGAACTAATGGATATATTAATAAAAATAACATATAATAATCATAACAAACATTATATCCCATTGCTCTTCTGAACAGTACATATATTAACTCCTTTCATTCTCATGCTACTTTTATACCTTTCATAGATGAAATTGAGAGACAGGGAGGTTAAATAACCCAACTTTACACTGCTCATTAAGTGGTAGATCTAGGAGTAAGTATGGCTCCACAGTCAATATTCTTACCATGTCTTTTTTTCCTAACACACATTAAAATATACTACTATTAAAGTAATTTTTAAAAAAAGTTTACCATGTGTTTCCTTTGGGAAACACTATTGAGTGAGCCTGCCGACTCCTATGGCTCTACAGATCTTTCACAGTTTCAAACTGAACTTGTGCTACACCATCCCTTCCTTGTAAGATTTTGAGTGCCTGGGAAGTCTCATGAGATGCCTTCTTTGATGGGAGTATGGCTATGAGCTACTCTTAATAATGTAGAAACACTTGTATTAGAAAGAAGAAAACTAGAAATCCAGGAGAGCGCAAGAGAAAACAATATCAAGAAAACACAAACACAGGAAAGGAAAAATTGGTAAAACTCTTGATTGTAAGGCAAACTCCTGACTAAACAGAAAGTGCTGCTCTAAAAAGGGATACCAAGTTCTTCTAAGAATAGGATGGCTGGGATATTTGGGCCATCTACCTGCTTCTGTTTCATTTACAGTCTCCATCAGCTCACAATCATCCTGATCTTCCAGTGTGTACCCACCCCACCCTGTTCACAGACTCATCACACTGATGTCATCAGGGGAAGGTCAGAATAGGGAATTAAGGACTTTATGTGGTCACAAGAACTGTCTTAATTCACAAACACACAATGAGCATATGATAGGTGTCCTAATTCCTAGGTCTAAGGTAGTCCTCTCCCAGGTGCCATTTACTAACATTATAGCACCCATCACAACCTGTCACTGTCATATTTGTTTGTTTATTGTGTTTATTATTTACTTTTAATAGTTGGCTATCTCCCACTAGAAAATGAACTTCATAAGGGCAATGACCTTGCTTATTTGCTAACTACTGTATCCATAGCTTCTAAATCAGTGCCTGGCACTCAATAAACTGTTGTTGAATGAATGGAACTTATTACTGCTCTCATAGGTATTTTAATTCATTCTAAAATAACCTACCATTATCATTTTATGTAATTTATACCTGTGGATCCTGTACCTGTGTATCAGAAATCATCTGGTACATAAATTTGAAAAATTACTGATTTCCATGACCTGCCCCAGACCTACAAAGTTGTCAACATCTCAAAGGTCATGGAAGGAGGGCTGAAATTAGAAGCTACTCAAATAAAACAAATGTTATTACCTGTGCTTTCTTTTAAGAAGGAAGATGACCATAGCTTAGACTGTAGATTTATTTCTGTATCTTTATTTTCAATACCCTTTGAAGATACTTTATTTTCAATATTCTTTAAAGAGACTTTATTTTCAATATTTTTTGAAGAGACTTCTTTCCTAAACGTTAAAAGTAAATAGTGAAAAAATATTTTCCTAGATCACAATTCTGTTTACGCCTCAAATATGGGTACACACACATATTTAATACAAACAATATAATACACCAACAATAAACTAAGTAGCTAAAATGCAGTACCTTTTTTCTGGAAAAGCATTAAAAATAAATTTTAATGATTAAAATTCTATTTCTACCTGGCATTTGTCTTTGTGTAATGATTCTTAGAACCTTTTCAGAGTTCTTTAACATAAGCACAAATATGAGCAATCAGTTCTGTGAATGTGTTTGACACATCATGTGATATATATGATGGAATAAAATTATTTAAGGAATACTAGCCTTGAGTTTTTTTAAGTTTGTAAATCAGTTCTTATCATTGCTAAATGCTACACTTATGGAGAGAGTCCAACACTAATATTAACCTTTGGTCATAATATAAAGTTGCTTGCTTTTTCATTAAGTCACTGAAATAGAAATGGGTTAATTTTCTCTTTCACCTTTTAAGCCTGAAACCTCATGTCAATAAATGCGAGACACAGGATTCTTCTGTGATGCACTGTTTACTCACAGGCACCTAAGCTGGTGGGAAATAACCCCATGTCTACTTTCTGTGGTCTTAAGATTCTTTTAAATGTCTCATTTACCAAGTTTAAAAAATTCAACTTCTAGTTTACATGGAAAGATATAAAAAGATGTAAAATATTATTTTTTTCCCCAATGCTATGGTGGCTCTGTTTTTTCCCTGTGGAAATGTGAATCCAGAACATTAGTACTGTAGTTGTTAGTAATCTCGTGCAATGACTAACAAAGAGGATGAATAGCTTGTGATATTCTTAGTACTATGAGAGGGAATGGAAAAATCTTTACTTCCTTAGTATATGCTGCTAAAGCAAAACTCCTCCCTGGTAATACAAAATGCACAGCAAAGACGATTTACATTTGTTCTGCCTCTACCCTTCTCAATTTTCTAATTGTGAAAGAGAGGATCCAAGAAGAAACTCTGCATATGAAAAGTTGAGAAGTCACTTAAGTATTCATTTTCTAGCATGGTGAGATTCTTATTGTGCCAAAGGTCTCCACAAGTGATTACTAGAATTTATTTCCTCTAATAGCTAATCTAGATAAAAGGGCTTTACTGCCTGCTTTCCCCCACTCCTACGAATTAGTTTATTTAACTGAATCTAAGATATCATCTATTTATTAGAAGACATACTGTTATTTAAGAAAAAGCATTGCCAAGTTTAAGATGCCATCGACTGTAAAAGATGTTAAACTATGAAGAAAATATATGTATAACTTCGAATATGAAATATGATACTTATATATTCACTAAGTTATATTCTCAAGGAAGGGATTTTAGCTAGTTTAGTTCTGGGTATTTGAATAATTGGAAATGCCTTTAATAATCTTGATACAACATGGAGGAAGCCAACACACGCAGTGCACATGTCATAAAAAAAAATATAGGAGCATGGCCAAGTCATCATTTTAACAGCAAAACATGAGTTTCTCTTCTGTTCACTTTCAGTAGTCTCATACACAGTTTCAAATAACCAAAGGCCCCAAAGTCCAACCTCCTCTTCCACTATAATGTATTGACTTCCATTTGAGAAAGTGATATTATTAATGGTAACAATGCCTCTAACCATTTAAGAAAAATAGATAACCAGTATACTCTAAAAGATGTTTAATTTAAATAGTTACAATTAAGGAAAGATTCAAATTTTTACGTAATATCCTTTGGAAATGAAAGACAGTTAATTTAGTATCTGCTAAGGTTAGAGAGTTAGTCAAGTTAGATATCTCACTGCAACTTGCTTATGCTAGAGGGTAGATAACCTAGGTTTTAGGATTGTTCCTTAGTTAAGAGCACTGGGAGTATTTATGAAATGTCCCCAAATTTCTATTGGAATTAACAAGTTTTTCAGGAAGTTTACATTTTAAACTTCGTTTTAAAATGATTTATAATTTGCCAAATATGGGCCTAAAAATTAATTAAAACTTACTTTTCTAAGAATGTCCTAGCTACATTTAGAGAAACTTGTACTGCGGAAGTATAAAGTTTGCTGGCCAATCTTGGTCTTCGTCCAAAGAAGCATTTACTTAAAGTGTAAAAATGGGAATAAAAAATAACTTGTCATTCATTTTAGAAAAGATAAAACATATTATGGAATAACATATAGATATATTTTCAACCTCAGAGAGCTGAGTGCTATGGATCTGCTTCAGCCACTTCTATCTCACGTCTCAAAAGCTTGAACAAAAACCCCAACAGATCAAAGGTCCAAGGTCCATAAAACTTTGTCCAGCATTAAAAATATATTTTATCTTTATTACTGAAAATTGTTAATTAAGTGCAATTTGTTGGGTAGACAAAATATTTCACACATGGGATCTATAGTGTGGGAAATGATAGTGTGGGTTTTGTGTGCAGAAAAGTTTAAAAGTAATAGTTTACAAATCCCTTGTGGCTCAGAGTAGAATGACGAATCAATCAGAAGATTAAGGCAAAGAACTGGTGGAGAAGAAACTTCTAGTCTTCCCTAACGCAAGCTGGACAGGGCCTTTTGGCAAATAACACTTGCTGGTCAGACTATGAAGCCTGTGCGGGGAGCAGGGGAGTGGAATGGAAAATTCATCAACTTTTCAGGTCAGTCGCACTGTTCCCTAAGCAAAAGTCCCCATGATTTTCTATTTTCTTACTTGATCATTTTCTTCCAGGACTGGCCCTGTTTGCCTTCAGCTGTGGGTAAGGCATCTGAGGTGACACAGCTGTGCAACAGTGAAGCTTACTGGCTATACTAACCATCCCTCCTTCTCCCCCACTTCAAACAACAATCAATCCAAATCCAAAGTCTTCTTTGCAAGCAAATTAAAAAGGACATGATCATCTTACTCTTGCAAAAAGTAGTTTGATAAGCAGTTACTGAGATCAAACAATTATTAATGAGATCAAGAGAACAAATCATCACTCTGATTCCCTATTTTGGCCCAGGGTGCATTTGATTTATCCCTGGGGTTTAACTACCTCGGGATATAGATTACACTTTGCTCCAGTTCCAACACTACTTATCACAGTCTAAGGACATTGGGGCTTGCAGTAAACAAAACAGTAATTTATCTTCATTAATGATCTACTAACTTTCATTATTATTATTAAAAGATATACTTCCCTCAAAGATTACTAAAATTGTCTTAGGTTTTTTAATTTAAATATGTTTTCAATCATATGATAGGATACATATATTTAAATACAGATTAATATATTTAACAGGGCATTTTTTCTCATTGCTTATAATATTTAAGCTGAAATAAACAGATTTTCATCACTGATCTGTTATACATTACTCTAATATAAAAATATGTATTTAACATGCAATTTACAATAAAGCCAAGGTGGATTCTAATTTTAATTTTTAGCTTTGACAGTGTAAAATTAAAATAAATGTTGCATCAGGTGGAATTTTTCCTAGCCAATAATATTCAGAATAAGCCAAAATAATATTAATTTGAATAGAATCCCACCAGAATGGTGCCTACTGACCTGTCAATAATTGATCTCTATGAATGTGTTTTATGATCAACTTTCAAAGTGTAATTTTTCATAGACTAAATAATAGAATATTAATTCAGGGGGTAGAAGATAATCTTATCAGGAAGGGCTTTGATGAATTATCAGAATCAGTGCCTTGAACAAAGCAGGTACTTAATATTTAGGTACCCAAACTGAACTATGATTCTATTTAACACCAATCTCTTCAACTACCCGGAGTGATTACGTATTTTCCTTATTTAGTAGTAATGATTCATCTCATAGTAAATAAAGATTCTGTTTAATTTTAAAGTAAATATTCATTTAAAGAGATATTCTGAAAGAAATGAGCAACTATCAAAGGAAATACGAATGAGCAATGAAAATTATATGTCAAATACAGAATACTTGGTGTTTAAGCATTAAAAGTAGAAGTGAATATTATCTACATCCCTACATTTTTTATCGAAATTCATTTTTCATTTTAAATGTCCTTTTGACTGAAGCAAAAGCTAAAGCACTAATTCATGCATTTCTAGCCTTTCAAATTTAATTGAGTGACAAATGATTGCAATCTCTAGTTCTAATTGCTCGAAAGGCATGTGATAGATCGGCTGCACAACCAGAGACATTTTCTTACTCTGACACTGTTTCATTTGGTTCAATCATCACTTTTTCTGAAAGAGAAGGAAAAATAAACTCAGTATTTTATCAATAGTGATGTTCCTAATAGAAACTCCTGATTGGCAAATATTTAGGCATTTTTTAAATGAAAAACAATAAAGGATTTAACTGCTAAGACTTCCAACCACACTCAACCATTCCAGTAGACTATCTTCTTAATATTTAGGATAAAATGGTGGTCAAATATATTTTTTTAAGTAATAAATCATTTACCCTTTGGATCAAACACTAGCAATCTGCCATTTTGTCTATATTTTGGTGCCTAAAATAGAAGCAGAGATAAAAACTAGCATTATCATTATTATTTTTGTTTGTGGTATTTAAAATAACTTATTCATAGGCTTTATATAAGCATTCTGTTATCCAAGCTAAAATGTAATTTTATACTAAAGCAATTATTCAAAAACTATATAAATTAATGGTAAAAGAGAACTAAAGCATCCTAAAAAATAGTTTATGTACCCTTACCTTTACAGCATCTGTCTTGCCTAGATAATTCCTGTAAAAACCAAAAAATTTACTTCATAAGTCTTTAAACACCTATGTAAATTTAGAATATAAATAAAAAGAATGTAGAACTCAGTTTGTCAGTAGAGTATTTTAAGTATATATTCTGTTTTTGTATTTGGTAGCATCATGTCCATCCTAACTGAAAAACCTCATTCTTCTGGATTATGAAATTGAGTTAAAAAAAAATCTAGAGAAATTAACTCTTCCTCCCCATTTCACCTTAAAGTCTATGTAAAAAGAGCTAAAGGAATAATTTTGCATGTTAGAACTGATGTATTAAATAAGCCTCTAACTCTGTTACTATTTGATTTTATAGAACTTGGTCTCTATCTCTAAATACAATCAACAGCAGGTTAAGGACTCACTTTTCCTACCGAGCTGACCCTAAAAACCATAAATTCAGATTGGCTTATGCTTACACCACCTCTTTTCTCCACCAAAACAAAACAAGATATAATCCAAACTACTGCCATATTCCAGGTCATGCATGTTAAAAGAAAAACACATAGAGTATATATAAGGCAGAACAGAAAATTTTTCTATTATATTCAAGATATAGTATTTTTAATATCATTTTGACATACATTTAAAAATTAACCTTTGATTTTTCTCCAAAGATACATTTAAAATATAATTCTTACCTTATCAGTTCCTGTATATATTTTAATACTTACTTATATATTAAAATGTTTTCTCTGTGAATTTTTACCTTTCCTAAGTTACCCTATGTAGGCTGATTTTCTTATAACTGAGCTCTTTATATGTTTGCATAAATTGCATTTTAATTGCAAGGAGAAAAATCAAGTAATAAGGTTTTTTTTTTTATGTATGAGAGAGGCCTGACTTAAATTTTTCATAGGTAACAATTCACTTGTTCCGTCTCCCCTAACATTTATCCCCACATCCCAAGCCAGTCTTTTAAAATTATTAGCAGTAGTACATACCTAGGGATTTCTGGAATACAAAATTCAGGGCCAAAACTGTGGACAATAAAACAGAAGGTTCATTATTTTCTATTAAATTTTTCTCTTTTTAAATCCAACTGTACTGATCTGCACTCCTGAATAAAGCAGTAGTATGGAAACTCTTGCCTCAGGCTTTGTTTTCTGGTCAGCACTAAACAAGCCAGACATTAGACATATTATTAATTTGATTATCCCTCTTAGAAGCTCACAGAGAGCTAAAATCTCTTGTACAAGCAAGGCACCTTTTTGGGAAAAATGGTTGTAGAAAATCAGAATGTAAAATAAATGAAAGATTTTACCCTGATTTTGTAGGGCAGTAGATACAGCTCAGAAGCTAAAACAATGCAATAATGAAGCAAATAAGGCCTTACAAGAAATCTAGGATGACTTTTCCCACCCACCACAGACATTCACGATCCTCTAGGCACCCATGTGTCTGGGTAGTCATCCCTTTATATTTAGAGCCCTCTCCTTTCTAGCTCTAGGATCTTCATGGGTTGCTACAGTCCACCCTTTACCTGGATGAAACATTAGTGCACACAATTCTCCTATTTTCACCTGGTAAAAAAAAAAACAAACCACAAAACAACAACAACAACAAAAAAAGGGTGGGAGGATCCTAACCCTCGTTGGAAAGCCGGGTCAGATTTTATCATTACCTAGGAAGTATTCATTTACTCTCCTTTCATAAAATTGAATTCCTAGCGGGCAGTAGAGTAATAATACTCAAGAGTTGGGGCTCTTGAGTGAAGAGACTAGATTCACATCCCAGTTCTGCCACATGCTAGGTAAGGCTGGGTAAGTTACTTAACTTCTTAAGGTCTAAGTTTCTCCATCTGTGAAAGAGAGATCACAATGGTGCCAACTTCATTGGATCACTGTAAGGATTAAATAAGATAATCTTGATAAAGCGTTTAGCACGGCTCCTGGCACATAGGAGGGACACTGTAGAAACAAGCTGATGTTTTATCTAAAAGAAAAACTGGGAAGATATTCTGAGGAGCTGATTAAGATTGCTTAGGGAAACAAAAAAGGAGGCTTTACTATGATGGAGACAAGCAGACTAGCTCTGAAGAGTTTTAATTAATTAATTAAAAAAATCACATAAGCCCTAAAGTAGTAACACTTGCTTAGAAAGATCATTGATGCCAGAGAAAAAGCAGAGTAACTGAGAACACAGGTAAAGTTAAAGCAGTGACTCAGAAGCTGAGCAGAATGAGGTACAGCCATTGTATAGGTAATACGTACTTTTCAAATAACTACCAATATGCAAAAAATATCTCTGAAAGGAAACGCTTTCAGAAAAGAAACTAATAATATTGGTTGACTCTGCAGAGGAAAAACAAATGGCTGTAGGGCTGGGAGGGAGTTTCTGACTCTATGTTCATCTGTACCTCTTGAACTTTGAACAAAATAAATATAATACCTATTTTTTTTAACTGCAATTTAAAATTTGCAATACCATTTGTATCTCTATGTTTTCCCATCTCCTAAAGGAAACTGAGTGGTATGTAGGCCTTGTGTTACTTTAATTCTCTTCTCCACCCAGAGGTATCTGCTCAAATTGGGGTCAAGGTAACCAGAAAGAATGGTATACAAGTAAATACCTTGTATATTCATTACTATTTATTATGGTTAAAGTTAACATCACAACATTCACTTAATTAGCACTTTGTGTCTACCAAGGGCACCCTCTGGCTTTTGGAACATGGGTAGACTCTCCTGATGTCTTTCAACAGTCCCAGTGGTAATGGGAACACGGTGATGATAGCTCCCAATTTCATGAACATTCAATGTCTATTTAAAACAAACATTTGATGAGCACCTACTATGTATCAGATATATCTATGATAAGCTCTGGGGATATAAAAGAAGCTCATAATTTTATAAGGGAAACAAGTCTGAACTTCCTATATATATGGCACAGACCAAGCTTCAAAGTACTGTACGAAATCCTTCCCTCTAAGAAACTCTGATGTAATTTTTCATACTACCGAAACAGTATCAATCAAATCCCTCTGTTGAGCTCATGGACTGGAGATATCAAGGGACAGTCAGCAGGCAGCAGAGTCAGAATTGGAAAGACAGAAGAAGAGAGAGTCCAGGCAACAGGGTTGTCCCTGAACAACTTTCTTATTCCAGAATCAAGCTTGAAGCCTGTTCTCCAGGTTTCCTATTTTCCCCCAGGTATAATTTCTGCAAGTATCCCTAAAATAAGGTATTGTTTGCCCATAGCCCCTTCCTCGTGTGGTTAACAGATCCAGCCCACCTGAACACAAGAGTAGTACTGTCCTAAGACAGAGCAATCAGAATAATTCATAAGCTAACACAGTAACTGGACGAAGGGATGAGCCTGTGATCCAAGCTCAGCTCAACACAACCTTTCTCTGAGACTTTTCCTAGTGGAATTGTCACAGAGGTAGAAGAATATGAGTCTAGAGCTCTCAGTAGCCATGGTTCTAGCCTCTAAGAAAAAAGTGGCCTGAGAGTGAAGCAGAATATACAATAGAATTGGGAATGACAGATGAAGAGATGAGAGACACCACTGATGTTTGAGTCGCTGTTTCTAGTTCAACCTTTGCCTTTACCATGGGCCAATTTCTCTTTTCGCCGAAACTAGCTGGAGTTGTTTTGTAATTTGAAGCCCAAAGAGACCTTGACTAATATGGCCCCTACTCCTTGATATAAAAAGAGGCTAAAATACTTGACATCATGTAATAAGAGCTACAATACTAGAGATAACATAGACTGTGGGAACACTGAGTGAGAAGTGATTAATTCTACCTGCTATGGGAAGACTGAGTCAGATTTCACAATGAAGCTGGCATTTATTTAATCAAGTCAAGACAAAGTAGTCACTCAATAGAAGGGGAAGAGAAATCCAGCATTTTGTTGGAGAATGGCAAAAGATGAAATTGGAAATGTATGTGGGACCAAATTTTAAAAGTTGTTAATTACCACAATAAGGATTTGGGGCTATAACCAGAAGGCAGTGGAAAGCAGACGAAGCCTTTGAAATTCTGTGGAGGGTAAATCTCAGAGAGAATGAGAGGTGAGGAGACCCGTTCACAGGCTACTGCAATAGTCCAGAGAAGGGTGAGCAAACTACAGTCTACAGGCTGGACATGACTCACTGTCTATTTTTGTACATGAAATTTTATTGAGACACAGACGTTCTCATTTGTTTGCACATTGTCAATGCTAGCTTTCAAACTGTAATGGCAGAGTTGAATAGTTTTGACAAATACTGTATGGCTTACAGAAGTTTGCCAAACTCTAGTCCAGGGAAAAGAGGATGATGTACAAAGCCAGGAAGGTACATGTGAACAAAAAGAGAGGTGCAAGTGAGAGTCATTGGGCATAGAAGTGTGGGAGAAGAAAGAGAATTTGATGGTTCTAGCTAAGATGACTAGGATGAGGGCACCAGGGGAGGAACACAATCAAGAGGATAATGAATTTGTTTTTGGAAATTCTGAGTTGGAGATGCCTATAGGTTATCTGAAATCAAGTGTTGTTCTATATTCAAAAGGGAGTTAAAACTCAAAAGAGAAAAGATGATGTATGGAATAGCTGAGGAAAAGTGGGAATACATGGTATGGCCCATGTAGAATAAGACAAGGCCAAGGATAGAATCCTGGGAAATACCAACATTTAAGAAAAGGGTGGAAGAAAGAATCAGTCAAGGAAATGCACATAAGCAATAGGCAGACAGATAACTACAGTGGTGGAATGCCTGCACCAGGATGGAAGCTTCTTGAGAACAGAAACTGATTCTTATTAGTGGGTCCCATACAACATTATAGGTACTCAGACATTGACTGAATTATAAAACCATTAGAATGATATAAAGGAACTTAATTGGCTTAAAAGGCTCTTATAGTTAAAAAAAAAAAAAGGCTCATAGATTTGGGAAGGTGATTCTGAGAAAAGAGCTGATGAAAAGAGATATAGATTTATTTGTTTTTAAAAAAAAGTATTATAAGACTTATATTAAAAGACAGGCAGTATTAATCAGAAAATGAACATATCTGGATAAATAATGTGCATGAGAAAATAATTTGTAAAGGCATAATTGCATGATTAGATACATTTGAAAGTATTCTGTGTTTTATGTAAATAAAAATGTACTTTGGGGGCCAGGGTGGGGGTCATCATGGGCTCATGTCTAAAAGAAAGGGCTTGGTTCTTGTCTTAGCTATATTAGTCTGGACTCTTGTTTGAAAGTTATAGGAACCATGCTCCAGTTAGTTTAGGTGAGGGGCAGGAGGGAGAGAGACACACACACAGAGAAAGCATTGCTAATAGAATCTAAGAGTTGAATACCCAAGCAACATAGAAGTCAGGACACAGTTGATACAGCTGTGCTCAAGCAGGAGGAGCGGGGCACTTTCCTTGTTCATCTCAGCTTCTTCTTGCATGTGGGCCTCATTCTCTCTCTCACTGCAGATGGATTTTCTACACACGGTGAAAAACAGGGCTCCCAGAATTTTTTAATTTTTATGTGATACAGTTCCAGTCTTTAAGGGAAAACTGACTCTCAACAATCAAAAACTCCAGTCAAGCAGTCAAGGGCCCAATCAGTTCAGGTAGATTTTGGGGCGGGGCGGAGGGGCTATAAAAGAACAGATAAAATCAAGCCACCTGAAAAGAAACTCTAGTGTCTAGTGTACTCCATGTCACATAACCCAGTGCTCAATAAATATTTGTTGAATGAATGGAACGGGAAAGAAGGAAACAAGAAAGCAAAGGAAAAGAACATATTAAACTAGAGCTTCACTGTTCAATATGGTAGCCACTAGCCATCTATGGCTATTGAGAACTTGAAATGCATTCAATTTGAGATATGCACACTGACATATTTTTTTTTTTCTTACAGACTCACAACAAAACATTCATTGGTGTTTTTAAAAGCTCTGACTATGAAGCTCCCTGAAGGTGCTGTGGGAGGTGGAGGGGTGGGTGGGACAGAGGAACTGGCAGGCAGCCGGGCCTCAGGTCCCCAGATAAGGAGGTGAGACAAAATTCAGCAAGAAGAAAAATGGGTGATTTGGCTTATTTGTAATACTTTTCCCGCTTCCTTGCAGGTGAACAGATACTGGGAATTGGTACCTAGGGTTTGACAGGAAATGAAAGATCTCCAACAGTTTTACATGGATGGACTTCCAGCAGAGGTGGCTACCTTCTTTTCATCAGAAAGGTGGTTAACAGCTTACACTGTATCATTGAGCTGTTCACACCCCCACTAAAACATGGTACTCCCACTTCTCTAAGTAAGTGTTCACTAGCCAGCAGCTATTAGTGCCAAATAGGTTTTATTTCGATTTTACAGACTTCAGAAAAAGCTTTTATAAAACAAGCCACTGACTTTTAAAATTCAGATTTTACAAAATTCTTATTTTGGGTTTTTCTTCTAATATTGAAAGACATTTTTCTTCATCCTATTTGTGTAATTATTTTATCCTTTTGTGCTATCTTGTATTCTAATAGGCAAAGAGTGCTTTAATAAGACAGCTACGAGTTCAGGGCCTGCAACTGTGGTGAGAAGTAGAGACAGAGCTGATTAAGCACTATCCTCTATCCTAGAGGAGCTTAATGGGGAAACATATTAGGATGTGGCGGCAATAATTCATTGCATTGCTCAGATACATATAAAATGGTTTCAATGATCATCTATCACTTACATTCATATTTAAAAGTGACTACATATAATTTTTGTATATTTCCTTTACAACATAATATAATGCCCAGACTATGGAGTCAGATTGCCTATGTTCAAACCCAGTAAATTCCTTAACCTATGATTCAATTTCCTCAACTGTAAAATGTGGATAAAAATACTACCTACCCCATAGAGTTATTGTGAGGATTAATATAAACTGCTAATAAGAGTAGTATCTACTATTTCAGTTATAATTATTACAACTCCTACTCCTTCTATTACTATTGTCATTATTAAGTACAGCCTAGCAAGGGCAGTGCTGAAGGTGAACTCGGACTTAAGGAAGCCAGATCTAAGTGCGCAATTGAGACTGGATGGGGCAAAGGGGGGAAAAAACTTAGTTCAAAAGTGGTAGTAGGAAGCTCTGGAATTCTGGAGTGGTGCAGTGGAGTTCCTACAAAGGTGATGGAATTCAGCTCTGGTAAACTTTTTAACACTCAAAGTGCAGTGCTGTTGTTTTTCTGAGATTAAAAACAAAAACCAAAAAAACTTCAGTTAGCAAAAAGTAAATAACAAGGTGGATTTGGGGATCATTGTATTTGGTTTTTAGGAGAATTAACAAATCAAAATGTATTTTCAGTGTCTTTTTCAGATTTATTTTTAAAAAATAACTTTCAGGGATCTCAGGGGGTAAGAACAGGTTCATCCAATTCATCTATGCCCTCTAGGAAACCAAATGATAAATTTATAATTATGCCATGTGTTAACTTAAATGATAAAGGGGCGTGGTGTAGTTTGAGTAGTCAAAAGACCACAATATGATTTTTGAAATCTCAGGTCAATTTCCTCATCTCAAGGCTGAAGACTGAACCTTACAAGTGACCCATTGTCCAAGCCCTTCATTTTACAGAAGTTGAACACAAGGCCCGGGGAGGTTAAATGATTTGTCCAAATTCCACCGAATTTTTTTACGGCCGAGCTAACTACGTCTGGAGAGTAATGACGTCTGAATTACAGCCAGTAAGGATTCCTACTGGCCATTAAGCGTTTTCCCCAAACAAGTAAAAGTAAAAAAGAAGAAAAGAATAAGGAAAAAAAATTTAAGAAGGAGGGCGGAGCAGGGACCAAGGGAAGTAGCGGGAAGCCCTGAGATGGAACGTGGCTGCCTTCATTTTGGGGTGGGGCGGAGAAGGGGAGTCGGCGCGTGGGAATCCGCAGGGCAGAACTTGGTGGCGTAGACACGCCTGTCAGAACTGCCCCGTTACCCCTCACACCCACGAAGACTTATTGCCAGCCCTCCCTGCCCAACTACGGCCAGAGGAAGAAGCCCACTGCGAGGCGCACCTGCAGGCGCGCGGATCCTACCTTCTCGCGCGCCGCCTCCGCAGCCGTGGGGCCCCGGAGCCCGAACCTGGAGGGTCCGGAGAAGTTTGCGGGTTCAGACGCCGGGCCTGGGGGCGTCCGTGGTGAGGGCTGAGTCAGGCTGCACTGGGGATGGGGCGAAGGAGACCCGCAGTCGCCCCAGAGCCTCTTACCTGCTTGCGTCCCTCTCACGCCGATCATCTGAAGGACTGTCACCGAAGGCCAGTCCAGCTGGAGGTTCGCGCGGGTTTCGGAGCACAGAGCTGTAGACGCTGCGTCGCCATGGAGACGACGCCGCTCGCGGCTGGAGCCCGGG